GAGACAATACCGCCAGGTATGAGTTTTATTTGATCGGAGGTTCAATATCATCCGATTTAGTCAATTGAAGCTTTCGTTGCAGGAAATTGGTCCAATTTTTCCGAGAAGGTTCAATATGATGTTACCGACAACATGTAAAAATAAATCAACAACGGGACAAATACACCCGAAACCGTAACTCTGGAAGCAAACATAACAAAAAGCGTTGTCAGTGGCGCCAGATCGCCCAAAGCATTTCGAAAATATTCCAATAAACACCTTTGACGTCTGGCCTTGTTGAAAGCATTGACATGTCCCCGCTGATTTCAGCCTTCTTCCAGCTCCAAATGTGGTGAGGACAGGCCCTTTGGCCGCATCACCAGCTTATCAGTGCATCTGCGAACAACACGGCTGGGTTCCATATGCGGCGCTACACCGGTGCACAGGCCAGGCCGGTGCCGAACAGAGACCGGGGCCGAGACGGGATCGACGAAGGACGGAGCTCAGGGGCGACCACAGTGAAACGTCAACTGCACCTGGATCATCATCAACTATCGGATCAAGACTAGAATCGCTCTTGTCAACGCATTTCGGCCATTGAAAGGCGACGCTCTACCACCGATGTATTCTGGCCACTCTCAATAAGTGATAAGTACGTGCTGCCGAGTCCAACGAATGTGAATGGATAACCCACAGGCTATAACGCGCCCGGCGGCCAGCCGGGTCCATCCTGCACGCGTGTGCACTGTGCAAGAAATTAACGGAAGTTGTGACCATACTATATGTCAGCTCTGGGGGCTCACTTCCGGTCACGTCTAATTAATGGTAATAGCCACAATGTCTTAAATACCGGGTGATCGTTTGGGAATGAGATAAAGTAAGTGGCACGTGCAGATGTGTATTCAATAGCACACCAGACAAAAGACACGTCATTAGACTCGTCATCGTGGGACATTTTGTACTGCACACTATTATACACCTGCAAGTCACTGTTCATCTACAGCAGGTGCTCAAAGTGGCCACCCCCTTCTGAGCGGCACAGCTCAGCCCGACGGCGTGTGTGACGCGCCATCTTTCGCAGCTGCGCTTCGTCCATGTTGCGGGCGAAGTCCTCAACCAGTTCCTTCAGCTGTTCCAGCGTTTGGGGCTCGCTGCGCACGATCTGAGCCGTCACCAATGACCAGAAACAAAAGTCCAGACAAGACAGGTCGGGACTGTACGGCGGCCATCGGTGTTCACTGTTCCGGGAGATGACGCGGCCGCCGAACTTCGAGTGAAGGAAGTCCATCACGGGAGCAGTGACGTGCGGCGGCGCGCCGTCCTGCTGGAACCACTACTGGTGGCGCGTCACCCGAGCCTTCACCGCAGGCCACACCACCGTCTGCAGCATCTCCAGGTAGGCGTCGCTGTTGACGGAGCCAGTGAACCAGTGAACTGGCAGGCACTTCCCATCCACCACGCCCACCCACGCTATCACCTTCTACCCCTGGGCCTTCTTGCATGGCACGAGCTTGTTCGGATTCTCTGGCGACCAGCACACGGTGTTCTTCTTGTTTGGAGACGGATGCAGAACGAACCACTTTTCGTCACTCCAGAGTACACGCTCAAACCACTCCTCATCATGGGTTAGCCAGAATTCACAGGAGTCCATCCTGGCCATCCGCGTCATCTCCCGGAACAGTGAACACCGATGGCCGCCGTACAGTCCCGACCTGTCTTGTCTGGACTTTTGTTTCTGGTCATTGGTGACGGCTCAGATCGTGCGCAGCGAGCCCCAAACGCTGGAACAGCTGAAGGAACTGGTTGAGGACTTCGCCCGCAACATGGACGAAGAGCAGCTGCGAAAGATGGCGCGTCACACACGCCGTCGGGCTGAGCTGTGCCGCTCAGAAGGGGGTGGCCACTTTGAGCACCTGCTGTAGATGAACAGTGGCTTGCAGGTGTATAATAGTGTGCAGTACAAAATGTCCCACGATGACGAGTCTAATGACGTGTCTTTTGTCTGGTGTTCTATTGAATACACATCTGCACGTGCCACTTACTTTATCTCATTCCCAAATGATCACCCGGTACATATGCATTTATTGTACACTGTATAATGGTATACGTATTTGAGAACATGGCATGCGTGTTTTGGGTCGCAATAGCAAACCACGAAAGTGAGCGTCATCATTCCGGGATCAAGCACCCACAATCTGCAACAATTTTCCCTGAGCATGACGTCATTCTGTCCGCAGAGTGCGCGGAGGCTTACTGCTGACGTAAGCAAATGCGATAAGTTCGATCTGCTTGGCGATTATCTCGTGACAGAGACTAGTCTTGTTAGTGCAGCAGCAGTCAATGTTCCGAATTTTACCAGTACTGTAGCGATTCCATCAATAAAAGTTCCCAGTGTGGTGCGATGTCTCCAGTTTTGCGATGCCGGATCCTGTCTGCCGCTGCTGCTGCTGCTGCTGCGGCTGCTGTTCAGAGCTGAGTGATGCCGCTAAGGTGATACTGAATCTGCACGACTACTCGACTCTCGTGCACCGAAATAGCTGTCACGCTCGACGGGTGGACGACCTGCTCGGTTTAACTTAATCACATGGACCGGTGTTCGCCGAAAAACCATTTCAATAAGAGCACTCGGTGACATTACGTTTCACTGGTCTCATGACATAAGCTGTCCGTCCCTTTCCGTCATTTGTTAGTTTTGTATTATACCTACCTGTTGCTAATTTGGATTCATCTAGTTTACGTTCAACCATAGTTAATATTGTAAACATAATATAAATATTACTGAAAACAATTAATGTATTTTAAGCTTGGAGGTATGTTGAGATAGCACCTTTTAGGCCAATTATAAACAAGACCAAGATTAAATCTCTCTTCAACTTCTCGAGTAAGAGTACATAAGCATCTACCGAATTGAAATAAGAAAGATGTCTGCAATGGTCCATCGAACGGGATAGATGAGTCATCTTCCGCCGTTGAAGACATACAACTCTATTCAGTCCAGTGAGTCCAACACCCTCAAAAACATCCGCCGACGCGGTGGCGCCTCATCACACCCCAAGTGGCGTGTTTGCCGAAAAGGACCTCGCGTGGGAGGTGAGTGATGTCGATAATAGCCGGATCGAATCGGCTCTTCTCCAATCGTCATTTGTATGTCTGTGTGAGTGGGTTAAAAGGGGAATTTAATAGGAAACCTGTTTAAAATTTGCATTTCTAAAGTCTTCGACCATTACCAAAAAAAAAAAAACGCTTGACTTGATGCCTAATGCACATTGTGTAACGGATATTGCATTACCAGATTTATATGCGATGACTATATATGAAACTTTGCATTGGTATTTATAAATGCTGACCATCATCGCCTAAATCTCTTATATCCTTAGTTCCAGTCCACTTCAGCTGTCACAGGCTCAGATGGCAGCACTGCGAACCGGCAGGTAGCAGCACGGTAGGCACCGTCCGTCAGCACTGCTCAGTGCATAGCGTGTAGTGTGTATCGGACGCCGAGCCCTACGCTGCGAACAAACTGGGCTTATGCAAGCTCAGATTATTACCACGGCAGGGGGAGCCTCGCCGTTGATCATGCTCTGCTCTCACGTCTAAAAAAGTCCAGGAAGTTGACCGAAATAGTTCCAAAAACAACATAGATCCTAAGGGCACCACTAAAAAGTCGAAGAAAACGCCTTTTTTTTAGAGCAATATTCAATCTCCTGAAACCCAAATTTATAACTTTTGCTTTTGGAAAAAATTGCCCGCGTTATCTCATCCACAGTTGAATGAGGCATCGATACCATCTCACACCATCAGTAAATTATTAAGCAAGCTTGCTCTAACAGTGTCTGACGTGCACTTTGGATCATATCTGACCCTATCTGTTCGGGATGCAGGCGTGTCCCTGTTAGAGCTCTGAGTAGGTATACATAATTAATCACCGCTGCCGGGAGTGAAAATAAGCGGACCATGCGCTGTGTTGACTGTCAGACGGACCATGTTGAAGACGAGCGTCAGGCGCTTTTTATTGCATTTTAAGTTAACCCGGCAGTTGCTGGGGTATTTCGCCACCCACCGTTTGCTGGGGGGGGGGGGGGGGGGCGGGAGGGGCGTTAAACGCCCCCAGCCGATAACTCGAGAACCAATAGGCGCAGCGAAACGCACGAGGCGGCAAACGAAAGAACGCGACGAGACGCTTCAGATGAGTACTTTAAAGTTGAAATTTGAGGTCACAGGTCGGGTCAAGGTCAGGTCAAACACCTGAAATCGGGCTTTCAGTAGCATGGACTTCAGGACTTCGCAATGGGCGCCTCTCGTCATAAACTCTGTCAAAACGGTGCACAATCCATCATATAAGGCCTACAAGAGTGTCAGCTCCATGTAGGGGTCAGTCAAGCATAGGCCAGGGTCAAGGTCAGGTCAACCGGGTAGGCACATATCCCCGAAAATCAAAACTGATATTCGCAGCCCGTGACACATGTTTTATGGGTAATTTGGGGCGTAGAACACGATGGTGACATTCATTTTATCATATGTGTACGTGTTTGGCTCAAAAAGTTCAATTTAAGAAATGCATGTATCATGGTCGTGAAGTAGTCACGAGAAATTGCCAAGATTCAGTTCAAGATTTTGGAAGATGCGGAACGATAATCAATAATCGAAGATAGCCATTTGATTGTTCATGGCATTGGCAGTCCCATGGCGTTTACTGCATGTCTGTATGTCTATTCTGTGATTTTATATGATTTTTTGAACATATGCCGTTTTTGGTCGAAAACTCAGAAATCATGACGTCACTAAAGCCTCGATATCTCAAAATTATTCGGACCGATTTTTTTGAAACTCTGTCACAATAACCTTCAATCAATTCCCTACAGGTACCCAAAATTTGGCGCGCCTGCGGCGCGCCGTTTTTATGCTATGGCCCGGCGAAAAAAGTGGGGGCGTTTAACGCCCCCCCCCCCCAGCAACTCGCGGGTTAATCATTCGTGGCGAATACGTACTGAACGATGAGACAAAGCGAGAAAACATCATAATACCCCTCACAATGTATTGGTCAACTGTCAAGTCAAACATCGTACATGGAAAAACTGAGAGCGGGCTCACCAAACATTCGCGTGAATATGTACAGCACAAAATTGATAGCATAACAACCTTTCCATTCCACTCCTCCCCAGTGCCGTCCATCCCCCTAGACGGCCACCACCTTGTTGGTGATGGTGCCGATGCCCTCCACGCCACATTCGACCACATCTCCGTGTTTGAGGAAGACGGGCGGCTTCCTGAACACGCCGACCCCGGGCGGCGTGCCGGTGAGGATGACGTCTCCGGGCAGCAGGGTGATGCCGCTGCGGGAGAGGTGTGAGACCACCTGGCGACAGTCGAACACTAGCTGCGCCGTGCTGCCCTGCTGCTGGGTCTCGCCGTTCACCCGGCACCAGAGCGAGAGATTAGCCGGGTCCAGGCTGTCCGCCGTGGTGATACACGGTCCTAGAGGACAGAACGTGTCCATCGCCTTGCCGACGAGCCACTGTCCGCCGTTTCTGCGCAGCTGCCAGTCGCGCGCGGACACATCGTGCGCCACCGTGTAGCCGAAGATGTAGTCGTCTGCCTGTTCGGGGCTCACGTCGCGGCACTTCTGTCCGATGACCACGACAAGTTCCACCTCCCAGTCGAGCTGAGAGGTCACGGCAGAGGGCAGCCCGATGGCGTCCGACGGGCCCACGATACAGCTCGGAAACTTGTTGAACACCACCGGCTCGGTAGGCACAGGCATGTTCTGCTCGGCGCAGTGGTCCACGTAGTTCATCCCGATACAGAGAACTTTGTCGGGAGAGGTGATCGGCGCTAGCAGCTTGACCTCCGACAGTGGCACAGCATTGGCGGTGGCTTCGGCAGCCTTGAGAATCTCCAGGACGTGCTGGCGTGGTCCGAGCTGCAGCAGCCTTACAGCCGAGTTGGGGAGATTCGGGTCGGTCAGAAGCTTCACGGTCGATTCGTCCGCTGACAGCAGACCGAGGTGGTCCTTACCACCGTGCGAACACTGCACTAGCTTCATGGCTATGTGTTCTTGCAGTGTCACTGACTGAACTCTCCTCTCTCAAAGACCACCTCGGACGGATCGGCCGCGGTCACTGAGCCCCCTCCGAGAGTGGTGTGCCAGACATCCCTCCCCTCTGACCACCAGCCGGCCGACCAGACCCACTTCAAGGCCGCGCCGCGTGGATACAGGGCGGGTCGATAAACAAACCAAGTGCCGGGCCTCTTGACGCCTCTTCACGACTGGTGAATGTCATCAAACTCAATTGTCATCGAGTCTGACTTTTTGCACATGTAACGGTATCGTAGCGCTACGTCTTTGTTTTAGAGCTTTCGTGGATATCAGGAGGAAGTAAGTGAATTTATTTATCTACAAAATCAATAACACCCCATTCAGGCGCACTGAGAAAGCTTGAAAAATTGAGGCCGATCAAACTTATGCACCCCATAGATGACCGGCTTGTTATGCATATTGCACATTGCATCCTGCATTGCACACAGCATCCTGATTTCACTTTTCACTTCTCTGCACATTGAAGACGTGCAAATGAGCTGCGCTGAACCTTCGGATATGTTGTTCGGAAGTCGGAACATTTGTATCGTGCACAGATTGTTTATACAGTCCCGTATCGAGTCCCGGGTATAAAATCGCTGCCAGTGCTAATGGTAGCTTGTTAACCCGCGACCTGGTGGGGGGGCTATTTTTTGCCCCCCCTCCAGACTTTTCGATATATCTCCAGAACCGCTGCGCCGATCGTCACCAAACTTTCAGTACCCTCCCGGACATCAATTTTACACATTGTGACCAAAATTTTTTCCAAAGGCTCTGATAAGTTGGCCGGCAATGACGTCAGAGTGACGTCATGTTCTGCCGTTTTCGACCCAAAAAAGGGTTTCGCGGGAAGAGCTGTCAGGCCTATAGCTTTGCAAATACAGGAAAATGAACATAAAAGCTGTAGATTGGACAGGGCTACAAAACTGCTATCTCGGATTTTTGAAATTTTTGGATTTTGACCCCCAAAAATCAAAAAAATAGATTTTTTGGATATCATAATCGAAAAATCCAAAAAGTTTTTTGAATTTCGCAAAAACCGGAATATATGTGATAGTCCTTACTGCCTTCCATCCACATACCAAATTTGAGATTGATACCTCTTTTTTTGGCGAAGTTATAGCGAAAAAACTGTTCAAAATTGATGACGTCAAATTTTCAAACTCAATTTTTAGCAATTCTAGACCCCGTAGCGCCAAACAAAGACCACCATTAGACTCCCCGTGACGAGCTGCATCGAATCAATACCCATTTTATTCAAAACTATCAACTTTAAAATTTGACCTTTTTTGGCCCGACCTTGACCTGACCTTGACCTGAACTTCACCAGAAAGTGACCTAAGCCGTACCTGATAGTCTTATAACCAACACCATTGAGTTGGAAATGAAAAATTGGCCATAAAACATGTATCACACAACCTTAGTAAAGTTGGGCTCATGTGACCTGACCTGTGACCCTTGGTGACCTGACCTGTGACCTGACCTGGTATTGCTAGTGACCTCTAATAGCAACATATCTACTAGGCAACTGACGCCCTACCGCTGATTCTCGACAAAATGCGTTTTCCTCGGTGTTATAGCGTATTCCCTAGAAGACCCGTGAACGGTGAAACATTTCATCTTTGACCTGACCTGTGACGTCATCGGTGACCCCGAGGTCAATGAAATTTGGTTTCCTTCAACAAATTTGACAGGCCTTTCGAACGCCGTTTGAATTTTGCGGATCCGTCCAGTAGTTTCGGAGATACGAGGGGGGGGGGGCAAAAAATAGCCCCCCCCCCCACCGGGGCGGGTTAAGCCTCCTCTCGCTAGCAAAACTGTATAGTAATTGAGTTCATGTTGACTTCGGTAAGGTTTGTACTTTGTTGTGTTGAATTTGCATTATCGTAATCTTAGGTATGAACCTACAGGTAGCGTTGATCTAGGTGTGTACCTATGGATTACGTTTTGCATGTGTATTTGTAGAAATCGAACGTTACAAAAAAAGCCTCGCAACACATCTTTGTATTTGTAGCTATATTTTGCTATTTACAAAACCTGATATCAGGACACCGCATTCATAGGACGTCATTCGATGTTAATATCCATCACACCAGCAAAAAACAAATATTTAGGGAAAATAAACAATTCGCTCTCATTGAGCGGATCAAACGTCGAAATTAATGATGAATTAGATCAAACGACATTCCCTATAAGCGCTACGCATTTCTAATCTTTCAATCGCAGTTTGATGAGCTTACCTCATTTCACCATATAATTATGCATGTCATAGATTGAACCATTTATTCAGACTTGTCAGCATGTATGTAGTCTGACATTATTTATACACAACCTCGTATGTCACTCATCGAGGCTCGGCACTGTCGACTTATTGCATGGCGAAGCGCTTCACCAATCAATTCCACTTGGTCCCTGTCTTATCACTGCAATGCTGTACAACATTACAAGAGAGCACATGAACGATGCATTTTACTTTGATCTACTATGCATGCAGAAAAGCTACTAAAGCACAACAAAGTGGCACGTAAACAGCAAGACACGAGGGCTCACGAAAAATATAATTTACAAAAGATTCAGCCATCTCAACATTTTGTTCACTTACTTTTTCAGGTCTTTGATCTGCTCGTGTAAACAAGTCTCAATAAAGCCTGCACCATTTTTGTCTGATCAACCTATACAACAAAGTGGCACGTAAACAGCAAGACACGAGGGCTCACGAAAAATATAATTTACAAAAGATTCAGCCATCACAACATTTTGTTCACTTACTTTTTCAGGTCTTTGATCTGCTCGTGTAAACAAGTCTCAATAAAGCCTGCACCATTTTTGTCTGATCAACCTATATTCTAAAGTGGTAGAATAAAGCAGATCACATTTCCAAACAAACAACAGAAACCATTTCTCTTTTAAGTCAGTTGGCGCACTGATGTGCTCAGTCACAACGAGAAACGGCACTGCTCGTACGATTAAATCAAACATTTGGCTCGTAACCTCTCTGAGCTAGTTGTTCGGTCAAATGAGCTGTCGGGTCGGTCAGATGAGTTGTCGGCTCGGTCAGATGAGTTGAGGTCGAGTCAGCTGAGTTGTAGCTCAGTCAGATGAGTTACCAGTTCGGTCAGATGATGTCCAACTAGCTAAACTCGATCGGCTGAACTGCAAGTTCAATCTACAGAACTGGTTGGAGCGGTAAGCTAAACCGTCGTTCCCAACAGATCAACGGTCGATCCTATCAGAAAACTGTCGATCTGGTCACCTATATGATCATCTGCGTAACCGACCTGTCAGTTGTCAGTCAGTCATACGAGCTATCGGTCGATAAGATGAGCTGTCGTTCAGTCAGCTGAGTTGCCGGTCGTCCAGATGAGCTGTCAGTCGGTCAGACGAATTGCCGGTCGTTCAGCCGAGTTGCCGGTCGTTCAGCCGAGTTGCCGGTAGTTCAGATGAGTTGCCGGACGTAGGTGGCCGGGAAGATGCCGATGGTGCCTCGCAGTTCCCCAAGCCACCAGCCGTCCGGCTGGCGGTCATGGACCTCGATGACGTCACCTGTCAGAAATAACAGACTGTAAGCGGGACAGTCAACTCATTGGGACAGACAGTTCCCACTTCCCTCAGTCACCAGCCGTCCGGCTGGTGGTCATGGACCTCAATGACGTCACCTGTGAGGGATGACAGTGAGAGCCAGTCAGGCACAGAACAACAGCGAAAAATGAGTGTCAGTGTCAGCAGGGTTGTGTTTGCATTGTATGAAACAATAAACGTAAAAAAGGAGTTGATTATGTTTGGTTGGAATGTAGTGACAATTGTTACGTAACTGACCTGCTCGGATAGTGAGTTCGTCATTCATGTTAGCCTTGTAGTCGTAAATGGCCTGGTACCGGTCTCGGCATGGCGCCCCCTCGGGCGGGTCTTTGACCGGGTCACAGGTCGGCTCAGCTGTTGGCGGTGACGTCACAGCCGATACAGGTGTGGATTCAGGCGGACTGTCTTCTGTGCTCAGCTCATCTGGAGAACAGAAACCACAATGCACTCATACAGGTGGGCAGGTGCGCTCTGCGCAGGACAAAGAACAATAACCGCTGCACCGTCTGTAAAAGCTTCAATTATAAATATTTGAATAATTCATCCGTGGGATATTAATTGAGAGACAAGGTAAAACACACAGAAATTATTCGTTACGGTGAAAAGATATTGCTTATGATGGATTTATTGACAAGCTACACAAACTCTGAACTCGGTTCAACAAGCTTCCGTTTCTGACTCTCGCTTATTGTGGTGAAGTGACCCTCGACTCACCCGAGTCTGATGGCGGCCTCTGGGAGGTCCCGTCGGCCGTGCCCCGGTCACGGTCAGCGCTCCACGCGGGAGACTGGTCCGGAGAGGTGTTGGAAGGCTCCAGGCTCACCCAGTTCGGCACCTGTGGCACAGACAATTGGCACAGTGAGTCTCAGGATTTAAGTTGTTCATCATCAGTCTTCACGGCCTAAGAACTTTTGAAGTTATGTTTTGATATATAATCATCTCTCGGGGACGCGTTTCACCACACCGTGCCGGCCACTGTGGTGTACGATTGCTTTAACAACCCGTTCCATTCCCTCACCCTGCGGTTTTTTGTCCTTGTCCAGTCAATTGTGATATTGTATCACTCAAACACAGCCTTATACACAATACACATACACAGTGCCTTATTGTCTCTTTCTTACCGTGCCTTCTCTTACCCGTAGCACGCATTGGACCATGCTCTGTCTGTCACTGAGGTGTGGTATCTGTCTCACCCGTAGGACGCTCTGGACCATGCCCTGCCGGTCCTTGAGCTGCTGAATGTGCCGGCTGAGCGGATGCTGAGGTCGGGGCTGTCCCTCCGTCTCTGCCAGCGCCGCCTGCACTTTGAACCGACTGGCCTCCAGGTACGCCAGCGTGGAGCGCAACTGTCGGCACATAGCGTATCCATATATTACAGTAAGACGATGTATAACGGTTAGAAGTGCACAGTACAGCACGACGTCGTCTGAACGCATTCTAACTAGCTGGCGAGAGACTCACAAAAAGTCACTGAACTGTAAAACAAATTTATTTTGTCAAGGCAGAGAACAGGTAACATAGCCCCACAGACTCACGTGCTGCAGCTTCTCCTTGACGTCCTTCTGGGAGCTCTCGGTGCTGAACTGGGGCGACTCCTTCATGGCCTTGGCCAGGTTCTCCACACCACTCTTCCCCCTCCGTTCCCGGCCGACATCCTGCTCCAGAAGGCGCGCAAACTGCTCCAGAGCCTGAGTTGGACAACAGAAACACAAAAAAGTCAGAAAAATGGCTCTATCCGGGATCAACAACAAAGTGAGGCTTCACAAAACGCCTGTGGGCTGTGACATCATACTGTGCCGCATGACTCCACAAACGCACGTGACATAGACTGCACGGCAGAATATCAAAAACGTCGTAGACTTAACTGCCGCGACGCTTGACAAAGCGCCTGTAAAATGGACTGTGCCGCAAAACTTCCCAAAGTGCCTGCGACATAGCCTGTTCCGCAACACTTATAAAACGCCTGCAAAATAGACTGCGCCGCAAGGCATCACTGAGCGCCTGCGATCTAGACTGTGCCGCATGGCTGAGCCGAACACGATATGCATAAATGGACAAAGCGTTCGCTCCTAAGCTATCCCGCTTGGGCGTTTGCTAAAAATGTAATGCATTCCTTACAGCCGACACACTATTTGATTTGCATTCTAACAGTTGACACACTAAGCCAAATCATATTGTGCGTACCTTTTTCCTCCTATCTCTATTCATGGCGTTGGTCATATCCTCGGCGTAGAAGTCGGGCAGCAGCTGCTCGGCCGGCTGGTCGGGCCGCTTCACCTGGAGCACCGTCTGCACGTCCTGGGAGACGTCCGCCCCCGACACGGGCTCCGAGAGACGGCTGGCGCTCTGCGGAGGACGGCAGGCTTGGTCAGACACGCGCTTTTGTGCAGAAAATATAAGGATTACAATAACAGAGCTGCTGATACTGGTGAGCTCAATGTGGGTGAGCTGGTGTTGGTGGCTTTGAATTCAATCGGGATTCGAACGGATAAGAAACGTTAATGACATACGGATATAAATAAAAATGTTATATGTATCTATCAAAATTACTTAAACGGGTTAAATGTTTGCATATTTCAGTTTCCATTTGTACCGTGCACACTGCACATTGCAAAATGCAGCCTAAGCAGCCTTGAATTCTAAAATAAGATATGCTGAGAGCGCGGCTGCAAGAATATAATAATGTACGCCGGTAATGCCATCACTCATCAGTTACTTATAATACTTTCGAGGATCTGCTGTGGCTTTGTGTTTAGGGAACACGTAGCCAGCAGGGGATTCGTTCGCACCTGCGCTATTTTCGGTGCCAGCTCCGCCAGGCTCTGGTGGTAAGCCTGTAGCGCCGCCCGGAGTCTGGTTAGTCGCTCCTCTTCCAGACGCTGGAAACACTGACTGCCCTTGTTCAGGGCTGTCTCCCACTCCAGCCTGGAATAAAAGACGGGAAAAGCATTACTCAATTATAGCATAATAATACTGTCCGTCATTTTTGAGGCATAAAAGCCAGTCTTCACCAGACTGATATTGCAGAACAAAAAGGACATGAAAAGACGGTCACACACAACCTTTAGGCATTATATATTGTAAAACACAAAGAAGCAGCTATCGCTTACCGCGCTCGTTCACTTCGTAAGCAGAAGTTGTAGTACTCGGTGTCCGCCTTGGCCAGGGCGTTCTCGGTTTTCTGCCTCCGACTCTCGACCTGTCGTGATAATTTTCAGTCACAATTCTCAGTTCATAGTTCGGACGGAATTTATAGATACGCGAAACTTTCCTCGAATAAACACGCGAATAGCTACTCTATGATTCACAAATAATCAGTCACTTCCGCAAAATCACTCCCTCAGTTGTAATTTTACCTCAGCTAATATCCCTCACCTTTCCGGCGTCCTTTCTGGCGCTGTCGTGCGCCAGTCTCGCCTCCAGCGCCTGCTCCTCGGCTCGCTCGTTCTCCCGCGCACATTGGTAGGAGAGCTTCTTGGCCTTGGCCTCCGCCGAGCGCCACTCAGCCAGGTTTTTTGCCGTCTTGTCGACATTCGTCTCCACGGTCCTGCGCGCCTTGTGCTGGGATTCCAGCAGCCCGCGCAGAGGCTTTACCAGCTCCTCGGTGTAGGTGACCGCCAGCGTTCTATGTCGAAGGAAACGAGCGCTGGGTCAGGAGACGGTTGAAGGAAACATCGGCTGTGCTCATGGGTCATCGATACAGGATCCTGACATGCTCATTGCTCATGAGCTCGTCTTCAATGATAGAAGTCCAGCCGGTAAGTCGATCGTCATAAAGTCGATCATCCACGATTGTTTCATCACTAAATGCTGCATTAATCCGACACTGCCAGCCTGTAACAATACCGTTAAAGGTAAAGATTTAAAAAATATATATCATCACGGAATGAGCATTGCGATTGCGCTAACTCACTTGTGGATGTCTGCCTGGTGTTCCATCTCCGTTCCGACTCGCTGCCAGGCCTGGTTCACGCTGCCCAAACCGTCTCTGGAGGCCTTGAGCAGCTTAGCAGCCAGCTTCTGCAGGCCGCGAGCGTAGGCGACCTCCAGGTCGGACCTGAGGTTACGGGGACAAAGAGGGGTCCAGGTGTCAGTACCTGCCCGTTCTCAGGTCTTGTGACGCGCCGGCCGAATAACTATAATTGTGAAGCTTAACCCCTAAGTTATACTTTGCATGCAGTTATATCGATGTAGACTGTGAGCAAGTAGACTATATAGCTGTAATTGCAAAGCAACTAAGTAAATGTTTCTTAGATCTCACCTTTCTTGCAAGATAGATGCAAGCTCCTTGCAAAAGTCGCCACCATGTTTGATGTATTTCCGGAGCTCTTCGAAACCGTTACTGCCCTGTAAAGCACAAAAGAAGCCCGTGAGACTGTGGGAACAGCCGGTCACACACAAAAATCACACTGCCCGACTGCCGCTATAAGCTAAAGACCTTGGCAACAAATATTGTTGAAGCGAACTGCGTATTACATGTCTACCTTCGTCATGAACTGGACATCTTCACCGGAATGTCAGCAGTCGCCCGGAATTTCAGATCGAAACCTCGAGGAACGATGCGTCAAACTATTTGACTTGCTGCCCTTATTACCCTAGACGGTATATCCCTGATGCATACCAAAATCCCTCATTCCATTCCGCCACCCTCTGTGCGCGTGGCTGTGCCCCGGGCATATCTAACTTTCCCTTCGGTGTTTGGGCGTGGATTCCTGCACCATCACCGGGCCGATCAGCCGCATGGCCCTCGAGAAAGTCTGCATCTGGCGCGTCCCGCGGCGCCGCTATGAATATGGGTGTTCCGCCGCCCAGGCTGGTACTGGACAGGCCAGTGAGTGCCCGGGGCGCTCTGCTCGATAAGAGGTTTGACGTCCACTGCCCCGCCTGACACACTTCTGACCCTCCGTCTGAGCTGAACACGTCACACCCCTGTCGTTGTCCGAGTATTTACGACCCATTCTAACCCGACTTTCAAGGATTAAAGTGTCCGACAGGATCGCGGTTTGGGGAGAATATCCGCCTGTCTTTCGTCACAATGGGCAAAAAAGTGAGCGGGATTGCGCATTAATGGGATCTTGGCAAGGCCAAAGCTATATGAAGCAGTCTCAAAAACTAACGCCGCCATTCCACATTTGTCCACGTCAAGGGTCGACGGCACAGCGTTTCCGGCATGTCAATCGTTGGGCGTAAACAGGGCTTTTCGCGGCACATCGCTTGTTTACAGTCCGTTATTTAGGTCCGCACAAGCTGCGCGTCAGTTTCCGACGAATGGAAATAGACATGTAACGAGAAACGAAAGCGTGGATACTGGATAGGTACTTGCGATATGTTTGTTTTTACTTCCCCGTTCTGTCGGGCCTTTAAATAGATGAACCCTACGCGCTTTGTAAGCATTCACCGTAAAGTGCCAAGATACAAGCCTCCGAAGATACCGTTGAACACTTCCCGAGCGTGTATTGTTATTGTATAGGATGTAAATGTATATATATATTTGAACAATGAGCTCGATGTGCCACAAACTAAAATGTCTTAGCAGATTTGATTCTTCCCAGAAAGACGGGGAGGGAGAACCCCGATGAATGTGCGAATCAACATTTTTAGTCGTCTTATCCAGAAAAAAATGAGTGAGGTAGAAATCCTCACACGTTATCAGAAACGCTTCTTTCCCCGGCTTTCAAATGTCACCTTACAATGTCCGCACCCATTCAGAGTCAGACATTCACACCAGATCAGAATCAGCCCTACTGGCGCAGCTTCTGAGCGCGTGGCGGCTGCAGTGATGAATGGCTGACACGGGGCGCAGACGGAGAAAGTCTCCCATCTGGGAGGGCATACGGGGCCGGCGCGGCCGCCCGGGCGGTGGTCGGACGTGTCTCGACTACACACAGCCTCTCTTGCGGCCTGACTGGGACGATGTGGGGTCTGCCGATGACATGAAGCCCGTATAAGGTCAGACCCCCAGCGTCGGAATCTAGACACTTATGGTCTTGTTTTGAGGAGAAATATTGAGAGAAATGTTGGTTTAGGAGAAGACGTTTCGTCTGTTTGTATGGGCATATTACCTTTTATTGAAAGCGAAAATGCCTCCGGTTCTTCATGCCGTGAAAAGTTTTTGTAGAGCTGAGATATATCTTCAATATTTTAAATAATGTAGGCTCGAGACTTTTCTTCATGCAAGTATCATGTTGTCAAAGTCTTTCAAAGTCTCCCATTACCACCGTCCACCCGCTCTGCATTTCTTCATTGCCACAACTTCGCCATAACATCACTTATCTAGCCAGTATGACACAATAGAACAGAAGGTTTTGTAGATGTTGCGTGCGGCAGCTGGTTACTACATCCAGTGAATGTGTTGGTTTTCTAGCATTTTGCTAACCATTTCATGTCTGTCTGGATTGAACCAGTTTTTGTTTCACCAAAGGTGATCCAAACTCGGAGGACCGGTGCGGCGTTTCCCTCTCAACACCAACGAGGTGGCACAACAGGTGTCGAAAGTGAAAACAGCAGCAGCCGAGATGGCACTCGGGGGTTTTACAGATTTGGTTCACTCCGACTAAACCGCTTCGACGCCCTTCCTGGGCGATACGGGTGTCGTATGGTGAAATAAGTGGCGAGTTCCGTGCCTGGCGTGCCTGGCACAGCTTCTGCATCGTATTTGGAAATTTTTCGTTACTTCATTTCGAAAGTGCTCCTATAAGGTGGTTTGTTGATACACTCGAACTCGAAGGTTATGCATGTGGCTATTCATCAAACGGCATATTTTAATCAGTATATGAACGGCATTTATTTTGTGTTCGGTAAATATTCAGGAAATAATATAATGTCAATAAACAACAATGGAGCACAATTTAAAGTAAAATGGTTACAATGCAATGCCTATATATGGTGCCTTCGGAATGCCATTTGATCGCGTTCCGATCGTTATAGTAGCACATCGGTTTGCATTGGCTTCTATTGCTCTGCAAAGCTGCATTCAATCAAAAAACAAAATCTGTTATCCATAACACTCCTGCCGATAACCTTCCGTTTAATGGGAGTGATTACAAAAATGTCACAAATATGCATCTAGAATTTCAGTTTAAGTGTCTTCGGCGAGCAGGAAAAGCGAATGGCTGGAAAACCGAAAAATTGTATCCAGTTGTGCAGCATCATCGAAAGCCGTCATCAAAAGCCTACTTATATCAACAAATCCAAAGACACTAGCAATCAATTTAATCCGAAACAACCCCTCGCAGTCCAACCATAGGCCCCACCCAATGTCGCCGTTTTAATTTCGAGTTACCTTTCCTCCACAGGACAGGAGACAGGCCCGGCTGCTGGAACGTCTGTCGCGTAGCAGCGGCATGGCTGACAGCGGGTGACAGCTACCGTCACTGAGCTGTCACAGAGCTGTCACAGAGCTGTTAGAGAGCTGTCACGGAGCTGTCACAGCTTCCCAACCACACCGACCGTCGAGTGTCGTACCGAGCTTTAGTCATGTAACCAGTTAGGTGTCTCACTCCACCGTCACGACACCCGTCACGCTAAAATACCACACCGCCCGTCAGGAGAACGCACCACTCGATCCGTCACAGTCCGACTAGAGCCGAACTCCGCAGCGTTCACTACACTGTCTGGAGAAAACGCCCACATCAGCGCCCTGCGCCAGCCACACTGGGGAGAGGCAGGCAGATCGGGCGGCTCCCGGGCGGCTGCTGTGGGCGGCCGTGGGCGGCGGCGGCGGCGGCGGCGGCGGCGGCTGGCGAAAGTGCGTGCCTTTAGTCCGCGGCACCAAATTCCTCGACACAGTCGACGTCAGAAATCAGCAGGTCATCTCTGCAATACTAGAGATTCGTCACTGTGATAGGGACGGTTTGACACCAAGCAGGTGTTAAAATATTTAACTGTTCTAACATTTTCACTGATAATCTAAATGCTTTCAGGGAATGTCAAGGGTTGACCGTCAAAATGGAAGAAATTATTGAGGCTTCCCCTGTAAACGATTCATTTTCCATGAAAATAGACGTCGAACAAACAAGTGTGAATGACGAATAAGCACAATTGTCGGGCAGCCCTTTACAAGGATATTTTCAACTGATCATCTGGAGCTTCTGTTTCACCGAGCCATGGTAATCAGATGTCTTACACAGACATCCATTTCAGTCACTCTGCAATTAGCTACAAAACGGAGCCATACGACCGAATGAGACTGGTGCGAGGTGCCGAACGCCAATGTTTACGGATCCTCATCGCAAGGCCAGAGGGATTGGATCTGGGACAACGCCAGCGCTGCGGAGAGGGGATTAAACAGGCGGCGATGAGAGCGATAGAAACCGTCGGCACTGTCTGCCTCAGAGCTGCTGACACAGCGTCGAGTCACGGCTGGTGGCAGAGGTCGAGGTCGAGGTCACGTGAAGTCGGCGAGAGGAGCGTATCATGCGGCGTGTCCCAGGGATGTGAACTTGCCTCGCTATGTTAGCTCATGCATTCATCAATTTCCTAGTAAAAGGGTTCAGGACCATTCAAAAGGACATATTGCTATTGCATGATATGAACGAGGCTGAGGGATTGATAGGTAAACGAGAGACATTATAGGAGCCATAGTTCACATCGGCTAAATATTAGCTCGTCAAGTTCTGATTTAGGTCCAAGTAACGCCTGTCGTGACGCGAATGATGCTCCAGTGCCAGGTGCCAATAATCATACACCGGCTCCCTAACGGCGAGGGATCTGAGACCTCTTGCACCAAACAACCTAGCTAACTAGGTAAAATCGAAAAACCGGTTTCAGAATAAGCTTATCTAACGGTGGTAACTTTGTTTGCAATAGCCCAATACATAATCCCACATGTGCTTGCTAAATTTTGCACGCAAATTGTTACGTTTGAGACTTGGACTGGGTATACGATGCAAAATAATCCAAGCATTGGTGCAAGAGGCCTCTGGACTGCACCACCCAATATAGCGCCAGCCCCGCCACCTACCGGCGAAGGTGCTGTGCTATTCGGGAGGAGGTCGGAGCGTTTCCATCCCAGGTGGCGCCACTCTGGACCAGCTAGGAACAGGCGGAGCTGCCATCTAGTGGAGCGGCCGGGGCCAAACGACGCCTCCATCGAACGATCATGCACGATGACTAGCCATTTGACTTTCTATTGACCGCTCGACATTTGATATAATGTGCAGCTGCCTAAACGAAGGCATAACCATACATTTCCGCATGTTATCTGGTAGACTCGAATGTGACATCAGAAAAATTATCATCGATATCAATCATATCGGTAAGTTTTCGTGAGCCAGCTTCATTCTAAAGTCACTGACTTAAGCATGCCGAGGTCCTGGTCGACTAATCATAGACATCGGTACCTAAGCATAGGTCTGGATAAGCGGCAAGCTGACCTACAATTCCTCTGGTATTTCATCCCGACGTATTAATATTTCAACAAACAAACCCCAGTTTCAGAGTAGGCGGTGACCATCATCCGACGTGAGTACGGAGCACATGCGGTGGGTTGACCTTAACAGGCTGGCCTGTTCAATGTTCACCGTGATAGGCTGAAATCAAATTTAGGCATGCCACGGCCGAAAAATGCAAAGCCGCAGGAACGGAAAAGCAAATCCTATAAAACGTCTCCGCATATTTATTTACGCATCATTGCACAGGACAAGGAGTAAAAAAGTGGCTGCTTTTAGCGGTGCCACAGCATTATGCATGCAGCCGCCGCCCGAAGTGGACCAGCCATGAGCCATATATCTTCATGGGACGTTGGTGATGGGATGGAAATATGAGAAGTACCTACATACCTAAGTGGGAATCTGATACCCAGCCGCTACAGGTAGAAAAAGCCCTGCAAAGTGCAGAATCCAATTTATATCACCAGAAAACAAGGTCAAATATCATGAGCGATTTTCATAGGCTTAGTGTAAACTTATGGCATCAATTGTATTGTTCGTGACTGAGCCCGACTTAAACCCAACCGATTATACATGACATTCATTTTTACACTATATAGCTCTGTTTCTTTCCAGATCATTTACAATCGTCCCTTGCGACTTTTACTAATGATACCCATTTCTCACCGGTCCCAGCCGATCCCTCACGCTCCACTGAGCTCCAGCAGTGGATGGCCCGTGTATAACCAGCACGGAAACTGGCTGACCCCGCTCGACCGCGGTCGTCCGGCCGCTCCGGACGGGGTAACTGGGCCGTAAACATGCCGCGCTGGCCGCGACCCGGTATGGAGATTATACAGACAGGTGCGTGTCAGCCGGGCCGGGCGGCTGGTCAGCGCGGGATGCCGCTACACGAGTCAATGGAGGTGGTGGGCGGGAACGGACAGGAGAGTTATCGAGACGGGATAGGAGCCGTCCACTGCATGTTGATTTTGTTTGTAAATTATTTAAGCATTTTATAACTATTGTCAATTTTTTCAGAGCTATATAGGTATGTCAAATAACGTTTACACGTTTGTAGATACAGTTTATTAGTTTAGATAACGTTTATGGAGCCATGGTATACCCCAGTTTTGTTTTCAACCAAAAACAACATGAAGATTGAAGAAGAGGGACGTTCAAATTACGAATAATATTAGTTCCCACCTTTAAGCGCCAAGCTGGTTGAACACTGAAACAGGTGGGTCCATGCTAACTCAAGCACATCAGTTAGCTCTCTCTTTTTGCAATCAGCAAAACACACACAGGTAACTCCGTGGGAGCTTTGTCTGAAAATTTGCCACGATTTCTCTCGAGGGAACTGTACGCCCGGGCTCACTGTGATTCGTGAGTCGTGATTCGTGAGTCGTGATTCGTGATTCGTGAGTCGTGAGTTGGTCGCTGTGTCACCGACAGCCGGACGGTCGTGAACGGACGACAGTGGCTGTGACAGTTTAGTCTGAGTGGGGTGGGAGCAGGGATGACATCTGAGAATGGGAACGGACGGTGCTGACAGTCCAATGTGAGTGGGAAGGGGAGAAATACCAGTTCATGAACGGCACAGTGCGAAGGCTGAGGTCGGTCCTACTACAAACAGCCTGTGGTGACAGGCGAAGGCTCAGGCCAACTTGAAACTACCGACTGTGATTCCTCTGGCTCCACTATATGGGAACAATTGGCTGTCACGGTCTGGCTAGACTGAGGCGTCTGCCGTCTTGCAGTTCAGTCACCCAGTGTGATCGAACGACTATGACAGTTGATTCAGACCAGAAACATACAGAGACAACACAGCGCGTTCTGCTGGGAACTGCCGACAGGCGACAGTGACAATTCAGTTCGGCTGGGAGCTGGAGGCACGCCGTCCGGCAGTCATTGGCGGTCAGTGGGCCACTGTGGCCGGCCGATTGTCCACCTCCACAGGCGTGACGATGCTCCAGAACTGTGCGGCGTGGTCAGAGAGCGGCGCAAAACCCGGCCCGTCAGTGGACACGTACTACCGCTCTAGGTTTGGCCGGAATTGGTAATACACCCCCAAATCCAACTGTCCAGCCAATTCGTGGCCATTATCTCATCAACTCAATCCGTCTCCAGGCTATCACGAATCCATTTCTGTCGGCTGTGGTCAGCCAAAATGGCTGAATGACTCGGCAGGAATGCAATGTAATGGTGTCACCAGCAATGTTTGGGTATGCACGAGCAGTTCGGTGTCGCTGTTATCACGCAGCTTACATAGACTGTGGCCGCGTTGAGAACCAATACACCGAACATTCCCATAAAGTGGTGAGTACTGCCAGAAGATGCAGCCAGTGATAACCTGGTTACCGGCGCATTGTGCAACTGACCGGTATGTGTGTTGTGTATCGGCAGTATCGAAGTGGCTCAACGGATCCGTGTAGCTACGTCACATGAATGTGAAATCTAGACCTACTGAGCGCAGGTGCGAGATGACCGACCTCAGGTCAGCGATCTCGTCTCTGAGAGGTGTTTTATTGGCACGTTCCTGAGCCACAGGCTGGGCTACTCTCGGTAAGGTGCTCCGGTCCTCAAACCGCTGACCGGTGTACGGGTCAGATCTCACGTATCCCGGCGGCTTTCCGACCAAGCGGCGAGCACGCACACCAACCGCATCACGACTCACTCAAGGCCCTATATACCAGGTAGGGTCGTCCGGCGATTCTACCTGATCGTGACGTCAGCTCGTGACGTCATCTGGGGGCAAGTCTTGAAGTCCCGTTTAAGTCCTATGCAAATGGGCGATTTTTGAAGCGCTCTAGAACAAACTCTGCTAAAGCTAGCACAAAACTAAGGGCATCATCGGAAAGCCGAGACATTTTTCTTCGAATTATCTAAGAAGTGTTTTTCACTAAACCCATTAGTTTTTCCAAAAATGCGTAAAAAAGCCCCCATGCCTCCGCAGCCTCCCTTCCGCCGGCCGCCACGCCGCCGCGGTAGTGTAGTGGTTAGGATGCTTGCGCCGTAATCCAAAGGTCGTGCGTTCGAATCTAGGCGCGGGTCGTACTTTAATTGAAATTGCAAGCAGAATATATGTTTTTTCTTGATAAATCACTTTTATTACAGCTAACCGTTCATAAGACTATCGATAACAATTGACTGAAATCCAAAATATAGAATACATTTTAATGAAACAAATTCAAATATGGCGGCCGTTGCGCCAGGCTCCGCCCCCGACTCCGCCCCTTCGTGTGACGTCATCTGTGCACTTGGACACACAGGGAGATAGGGGACGATATGGGCCTGGACTCACTTCGACCGGCGCACTAATTGGGACGCCATCTGGCGTACGAGGCGGTTACGGCGCGATCAGTGCGGCGTATACGCCTCCTCACACCGGCGGCGGCGAGATCGGCGACGGTGGCGGCGCGGTGGCGGCGTCAGCGACGCGGCGTCAGCTGGTGGAGGGATCTATCGAGAACGCTCCGTGAGCTATCGTCTGCCGCGACGGCCGAATACGGGTCAGCCGGGCGCCGAGAAATAGAGCCGAGCGCTGAGAAACAGAGCCGAGCTAGGCTTAGCTGTGACGTCGGGGATACCTCGCGGATATTTTCACTTCCACGGCGCAGTTTGTTCAGGATTGAAGATGGCACGACAAAGGACTATCCGTCAGAGAAAGTCGAGGGGAACAGATGAGCTGACGGGGATTAAATTGGCTCTGCGGTGGGATTTCACGGTTCCCTGACTTCCAGGCGCCGGACTCGTTAGGACGGTGATACAGGGACATATTTCACATGGTTTGTTTGAAAGGGTTCATCACCATTCATGAAGATAAGTTCTTTCATGTTTGTCATCGGCAATTGTGCTTATTGTGCACCGGCGCTTTTCTGTTTTCTCACAGTCTTCGGAAACCGTGACTACTGGAGAATGATTTCCCCATTCCAGTCTCCTGATGATTCTCCGGTAGCACCATGCACCCGTGTCAGTCATATAATAAGAGTTTTTAACAGCAGCTTATAGCCACTACGGTGATATTATTGAATTGCAAGGGCCTGCAATTACCCTCTAAACGACTGCGTAAGTAGGTTTTAAATGATATGCACATGTTTGTACGTAAAAGCATAATAATATGCATCTTCGGCGACAGTTTTCGGCGGAAACACGGTTCCGGCTGCTCATCTGTTTGGCGCGATGTATCCAGTAGTCGCTGTATCCAGTAGTCGGGTTCCGGCTGCTCACCTGTTTGGTGCGCTGTATCCAGTAGTCGCTGTATCCAGTAGTCGGAGTCCGGCTGCTCACCTGTGGTGCGCTGTATCCAGCTATGGTCCGGCTGCTCACCTGTGGTGCGCTGTATCCAGTAGTGGTCGGGCTGCTCACCTGTTTGGTGCGCTGTATCCAGTAGTCGGGGTCCGGAGCTCACCTGTTTGGTGCGCTGTATCCAGTAGTGGTTCGGCTGCTCACCTGTTTGGTGCGCTGTATCCAATAGTCCAGGTCCGGCTGGTCCACCAGGTCTGGCAGCCACGGATGGTTCCGGTGCAGGCTCATGTACTTGACGCCCAACCAGCCGGAGAGGGGCGCCGCCGCCCTGCCCAGCGCCCGTCCGGCGGCGCCCGCCCAGCCGCAGACGGTCACCCAGAGGGCGCCCAGGGTCAGCCACAGGGGCGCCGCTGACACAGGGGAGGCCGGAGCAGCGGGCGTCTCCTCCGGCGGCTGCTGGTCGCTGCTCTCAGCTGCTGACGGCAGACGGGTGTGGACTGAAGGGAGAACCGGTGCCGATGGTGGCGGAGTAAACAGCACCGGGCCGATGTCGTTCATGGAACTCGACTTACGCATCGTGCCCCGACCTCTGGTGGCCGGCTTGATGCGAACACACGCGAACTTGGAGTCCTTGGTTCTGAGCGCCAGCAGAGCCTCGGCAGGTGACGACGGCGTCTCGGTGTGCTCGGGGTGCGTTTCCAGAGCCTGACCGGCATCCACAGGCGCTGTGATCCGCCCCCGTCGCCGTCTCTTTCCCCGCGGCGCTATGTGCGCCATCCCCGGGGCGGGCCCGTCCGGCTGGTCGGGCGGCTCGGAGGGGTTCGTCTGCTCACGGAGCTGCTGCTCACGCAGCTGCTGGACCAGCAGCTTCTGCAGCTCTCCGCTGTTGGCGTACAGCGGCTCTGACGGCTGCAGCTCGGCGCTGTGCCGGCGCAGCGGCAGCCGCTCGTACCCCCGCTCCAGGGTACTGCCGCGTGAGCTGGGCAGGGGCTCGTCCTCAGTACGGTCCTCCAGCGCCGGCGGCGGGCACGTCAGCTCGCTATAGCCGTCCCAGGGCTGTCTGTCGGCGTCCCACGCAGCCGCAGTGCTATATAACGACGAACGGAACGACAGTGAAGAGCGCATGCCATGGCCATATGTCTCGAACTGCTTCGACGGCCTTAGTACGAAATTGTCGTTGATTGATTGGTTTATTGCTGCGACAGGGCTCTTCGAAGAGCGGTCTAGTTTCTTATTCGGTTTCGATCTTGTGTGCGTTTTGCGGTCTGTGCTGGGGACTGCTAATGCTTCGGTGTTATGGACCTGGATGAAGCATTGTTGGAGGTTTTGAAGACTGCGTGCCTTGTGCGGCAATGCGCTGAGTCTACCAGAATAGGTCTCCCCTCCAGACGTCTCGGGCTGATGCAGAAAGAATGGCTGTCCTACACCCCCTGGATAGGCTGGGCTGCCCTCAGCCACCTGTGATGTCCCTCCATTCAGCAGATTTTGCCTGTCCCGCTCAATCTCCTCCACTGTCTTGGGCTCCAGGTAGACGTTTTCATCGGGCGGGTCCCGGAGACACTCCACATAACACCCGTCCAGCTCCGCTCCACCGTTCGCGCCGTCACTGTCTGAGGAAGGCTCACCGACACTGTCGCAGGACCAGTTTTCGGTCTCTGCTCCGTTCGGTCGGTCCTCGGAGCCACTACCAGGGTCCTCGGCTCCAGCCTCCTGGGTCACGGCGGCACGCGGAACCTCGTACGTCTCACTCTTGGGGACGGCGTACGTGTCGCCAGCGTCACTGCCCTTTCCGGAGGACAGGCCGCTGTCGCTGGTCGACTCTCCGGTGTGATCGCGGCCCTCATCACCGCCCACTCCTGCTGTGTCTGCTCCTCCACCGAGTTCTATAGACTCAGCGTCAGCGTGTCTTGCGTCTAGGCTGCCTTCTTCAAACACATCCTGCACAGAGAGACGCCGAAGACCGTGCCGGAGATGCGGCCGGACTATGGTGCCCGTGTTGTAGCGCCTCTCCACAACCTCCTCAATGATCTCTGGGCACTCCCGCATCAGCTCGTACGTCATGTCCGGCTGCTTGCCGGCCCTGCCGTAGGTCGGCTCGATTCCTTCAGTGGTTGGAGAGTGTGTTGTCACAGAATGCAGCTCGGCAGCATCACCAGGGTCGTCGTCCTCTTCAGCACCGCCAGGCCCACCGCTAGCCGACCACAGAGTCGCTAGGGCCGGCAGACGGGTCTTGAACATCTTTCTCAGAGAGCCCATGGTGCGGATCGCTCCGTTTTTAACACGTCTCTACAGAGCTCACATATAGCCACGGTTATGAAGCGGGGTCGAATTACGTCTGAATAAATTAATCACCGCCCCCATAGCTAAAGTCAGTTACTGATAAAAGTTACCGATTCGGCTCATCACACACTCGCTCAGACCGAGTCCCTCACACTCCTGACTGAATCTCTCCTCAGTCCTCACCACTGACCTCTCTGTCCTCTGTCCACACTGTTTGTCCACACTATCCACATTCCACCGTCACCGTCCGACCGCGGTCCCCATCCGTTCACCGTCCGTCCCACACTGAGCGGCCGGTCCGAATCCGCCGCTACCGCCCCACACGCCGCCACCGAAATACAGTCGTCACCCGCGAGCGGCGGCGGCGGGCGGCTGCCAGCGGCCGGGGGGTGGCACCTCTCTCCCGGCTAAGAACAGAGTGTCTCCGCGTGGGGTCCCAGTCCTCCGGTGTGGTAGTTCCGCGCCGCTGCCTCCCACCGCGACTCACCAGCCGGGGAAAGTGTTGCGCAGATGGACGGTGCCGGTCCGAGCGAGCGACGAACGGCGGACGCACTGTCCACGGTGTGTCTCACACGGAAGTAGCTGTCTTCACCGAGGATAAGACGGGCTAATAGATGCAGCTTTTGATAGCCAGGATACGTGCACGCCGGCCACTCAGTACTTCGTGGTATTGACACGGCTCTAGTCCTGTGACACAAAGCAGCACTTAGCGCGACGGCTGCCAATACCACACCGTCTCAAAACTCACTAGCGACAACCGCGAGCTTCAAACACTATACGAGTACATACACGGCCGACCAGTCTATTATCAGCTAGTGTCAGTCAGTCGGTCAGGCGGCCGTACCGGCGACGGACCAATGGCTGGCGCCTCTGAACCGTTTCCACCAATGAGGCGCCGCGGCGCGCCGTGCCGAGCGGGCCCGCTACCCGGCGACCCGGCGAGCGGTGTTGCATGGCAGAGGAGCCCTGCCGATCAGCCGGTGATCTGCCGGGTCAGCGCAGCGGTCCGAACGGCCGCGGGCCCGAGCAACATCTCCGGCGGACCAGAGGAGCGCCGTCTGATAATGGCCGGGCCCGGTGCGTCGGTAATAAACCGCTGATTGGAACTGAACGGCAGGTCTGGGAACTGGGATGCTTACCTAAGCTAAGAGTCTTGCTTCTCTGGATGTTGCATTCTTGAGTGGAATCCGTTGGTGTTATGTTATTTCTTATGTTGTTTTCAGAAATATATGCTCAATTGCAATAAGACGTTACTTGAAGTTGAACCTATCTCGCTCAGTATTCCGCGTTTCGTAATGGCGAGAGGCACAAAAGTAACCCAACGTCGTCACGTCACCATGTAAAAATACACAGACCCATATAATTTGTAAGTGCCTACCAAGGCTATATAAACCAGGTAGAACGCTCCGGGAAAAAAGTTGGAAACAATAAATTAGTTGCAGCATTCCCTGATGACGCGAATGTGGGTCAGCGGCCGGCGGCCGGCGGCCGCTAACACTGTATGAGGATGAGTGCACGGAACTTTTGCTTGTTGGAGATTGCGCTAGGCAGTTAAATGTTAATGTTAGGATATGTTTCGAAAGTAAATTGAACGAGGCTTCGAACGCCGTCAATGAATTTGCGATGCGACGCGTATTTGTTTAGTTAGAGCCGGCGAACTTTTACCTTCCGACCGCGCGGGGAGGCGATATGGTGCCACACTAACGGTTTTTACGATAGCTCAAAATTCTTTTAAGCTAAAGAGCTGAAATTTGACTCGTCCAATCTTTTGATCAAGCTGGATCTTCTGGTACAGGTCGCATATTTAAGGTACGTCAGGTTGTTGACCTATGTTGTCGCTCGTGAGCCTCTGCACAGTCCAAAAACAATGCAATTTCTGAACACTCAGTGCCAAGAAATCCTTCACACAAAGATGACACTTGGCAGAAAGAAGAGTTGTCGGTTTCTTATCGTTCGTATGTGTCGTGTTTTCACAAGAGTTTAGTAAGGTCAGGTCCGTCACGTGACCTCCCCTCATAACTCAATAGGTTTACTTTCATAGAAGCGTTTATCAATCGCCGGAAATCTTAGCCAATCCCACTGGACACTGGATCCATACCCACATGGGGCCCTCCTGACTGGCCACTCCCTCTGAAATCCACAATAACATTGGGCTGCGGCCACGGTTATGTATTAATGCTTTTCACTGACAGAAATACAACAACTTCAACCACCACAGTGCACGCCGCCACAACAGTCCGACCGGCGTCCCTGATATCGACTAGCACCCGGCCGGATGCACATACGCGGAGCCAATCAGTCCGAATGTGACCTGAACCTTACAATTGCTGTGTCGCATGGCGCATGGCACAGGACGATTCCTAGCAGCTGTCGGCTGGAGTGGAGAAACAGCACGTTGCAACACACCGCGCCGGCGACAGAGCTCAGCAGGGCTGGTTTGAGGCTAAAGCCGGAGGTAAGGGCGGACACAGGCACATACATTGCAGGACAAATAACAGGATGTCAGTTAGGGATATAATTCAAGACGAATGATTCAAGACGGACTGAAATAATGCACATTCTGCTCACTTAGATACCAACTTCAAACTTGACATAGCACCACGGAAACAATTGGCACACAGGAAAGAAACAAAAGATGAGGTGTTTTTAACTCAAGGAGGTAAAAAGAGGTTGCATATGATGGAACAGCCCGAAGTGCAGACAAGCACATATTTTTGGTAATAGCTATCAGCTGTCCTACTTCTCTTCTCCCTTCACCAACTACTGGACACATCTGAAGCATCATATTAGCACCAATGTCCATAACAAAAGCTTGCAAGTAGTTTTATGAAGCCAGGGGAAATATGCCTACATCATGCATGTAAGCTCAAAATGCATTACAAAGGAAGGTTATCTAAAGAGAATAGTGGGCAAAAGCATGTCATAGTTAAATTATTCAAAACTGCACACAGGGCAAACATAAAAAGCAGCAAGTGTAGTGTTCTGTTATGCTTAAAAATAGTCCAAAACAAAATACAATCTTTTCTTGTTTGAATTGGTTGTTCTTCTATGCCACTTCATCCATATCTTGATTACAGATGGGCTGTTACTGTAGGCTGATGAAGTGACACTTGATTGCCTTTGTGCGAGTTTCAGTTGCAGCCTCCTAGGTACTGCACTGGAAAGCAGATTGAATTGAATGCCTCTGAAAGATAGGAATATAGGCAAAGTTAGCTGTAGTAGTGTCAATGATAATAGACATGACATTTTTGTCTTTTGACATACATTTGTTGAAGTACAAAAAGGTACAAAATAAATTGGTTTGTTTCAAGACATGCACACTGCACAAAGCCGCACAGACATTACACAAGCATATGAAATTGGTACACATAAAACTTGATGATTGAAAAGGTCAAAACTAGCAACAATAATTAATTGAAGTAAAAGTTACCATCACAATCATTTGATTTAAAATGACTTGACAAAGTCACAAGACGCAATGCTCCTATTCACTTGAGAAAAGTGTTTATGCTTTCATTATCCTCCACATATCAACCAGCTTGATACCAGGCTGTGCAATAGTGGGTACATAACCCCATGTTTCCATTTTATTAGAACAAGTGGGGTTACAACAACAATGCTAATGTCAAACCCACATCTGCAACCCGTACTGAAGTTTCAATCACCTTACAAGAACACCTTCTGGCAGTTTGATGGGCAGAATGGTCATAACTACTTTCTCCTCATATTCAACACAAATTATCTCTTATACAGATACAGTTTATACTTGGTTATGGCAAGCATTTTCGAGAAAAGATATGATAAAAGTCCAAGACAAAGGTCGAGAGAAACAACACCAACATAAAACACCGACTATGTAGCACTAATACTATCAAATTCATAAAAATATATACATGAGTCGATCAGAAATTCACTGTAGATTTCGAAAATGGTGTCAAATGCCACTCAAATACCCCCATTCGCATGTACGAAGCAATATAATACTGACCTTCAGCTCCGCGTGCCATTCTTCATAGGCCACTGTGTATTAAATAACGCGTTCACTGATCGCAAAAAAATGAGACCCACATATGACGCGTTTGCTACCAGCCAATCAGCGCTCGAGATGCCGAGCGCTGATTGGTGGAGAGGGCCGTCGTCAGCAGTCCATTACATGTCGTTTTCCTTGAACATATACGTGAGCAGCTGATGCTGCTCACGGGTTGTTTCCATTTTTCGTAATGCTAAAGGCACGGGAGCGAACCCCCCTGGTGCCTACTACCTACAGCCAGTCTAATGAATTGTTTAAAGTTTAAAAGCACTCGCAGGTCCAGCTAATGCACATTGCACAATGCACATGCTTCCAAGACTAATGAAGCTATCACCATCCTCCAGGGAGCGGCGCATGTGAGAGGCCGGTTCCGTCTCAGTAAGAGCCACCAATTGTAAATCATGTACCGTTCAAACCGTCTCCATCTCCGCGGAGTTAATTACCTCACCGTGCGTAAATAACACCTTAGCCGTCCTAACCCACCGCCCTGGAGCCATCAGCACCCCATTCGCACCGGAGTACTATGCGTCGGTGCATGAACCGTCTCAGTAACGGACTACCGACGGTCAGGACCGACTGGCGCCGTCGGCGCGAGACGACCCTGCTCACGGGTCGGCGACGGAAGCACCGGGCGGTAGCGGACGGCGGAAGGTGCGGGCGCCGGGCGGTGCCGTTTCGGAACCTAACCAAGGCCCTAAAACATAAACCTACCTATTGCGTGCTCACTGCTCAAGCCTCGAGTCCTCGGCGCACGCTCGAGCGACGTTGTGAGGTGTGTCGATGGATGCTCGATCGGATACACAACATGTGGGTACCGGGACATGCCGCCGAAAACCGGCACACCGCACGGCCGTAGGAACGGGACGGGAAGTGAGGGTGGTGGAACGGAATGAGACGGGCCGGACTGAGGGCTGGGGGAGAGGAAGTGGAACGGAATGGGATCGGCCATACGGTTTGTGGGGCGAGAGGGGATACGGAAGCCCCTAGGAGGAGTGGTGGAACAAAATGGGACAACGGGATAGGGTGCAATGGGACTGAATGTGATCGGACATGGAGTCTATGTGGCGGAAAGGGGTGAGAATAAATCAAGGAGTGGTGAGATTAGGTAGCGAGCGGGGCTCGTGACATTGAAAAAGGACGGGATGATTCAAACTTCATTACCTTCGTGGTCTCGGATGAAATAACAAAAATTATAAAAAGTATGTCCATTCCTCAGTCATCCAATCGGTCCATAAACGTTGAACAAATCTTCATAACATTTATGCAGCCATTCAAGCACTCAATTCGTAACGAACGCTTTACCTACATTTCGCCAGAACTGGCAGAACAATTGCTAAATGTGTCTACTTTCAGTAAACGGCATTGTTTCATGCAGCAGCCACATCTAATGAATCCATTGAACGTGCATTACCACGTCTACCGCCCATCGCTTCTCAACAAGGGGCACGAGTGGGATCGCCGACAGTTATCCGGCACGCAGGAGGCTATTTTAGTCTGCGGGCTGGCCCTGCTGCTGGAAAGACCGGCTCTCGTTGTGGGAGGTCGGCGAGGGTACGCCAGGCAGGGGGTCGGCTTCGGTCGGTAACCCGCCCCACCAGCCCCCTTGGATCCACCCGGGAGAGCTGGCACAGTCCCACCTGCCCCCTTAGATCTACCCGGGAGAGCTGGCAGACGATCACCTGCCCCCTTAGATCCACCCGGGAGAGCTGGCACTGCCTCGGCTGTCATGCGGGACACTTCGGGCCAGACGGAGTCCGCAAACGGCAGATGTTGTAATGGTTAGCCTTAATCTTTTAAGTTATCACACGCACAAATTCTCAATTCAAACACGCCAAATGCAAAAGAGTAGTATTGAACCATATTGGAATATCTTTGTCGTCTGTCGCCTAAAAGTACCTAATAAGCTATTTCGAACCGACGATACCCAACCTTCCGCCACCCCGGCCAAATCCGATACTGTTGGTGATACTCTGGTGATAAAGTGGGAAGTAAATTTGTGACCAACTTCCATTTTAATGGAGCGTATTAAAATCCAGTTCAGTCTTGGGTATTGCTAATTGCAGCAGTTTACGTACAATTGTCCCGTACCTATTTCTAGTTACCACCTTACCCTCATATCGACTTTGGCATAAGTAGTTCTGAAAGCTTTCTCCCCATCACAGAACATTGTCCCGAGTCGCACAGTCCATAAATGCAGCTAACCATGCTGGGCCCTAGTACTCTGAGAAGGGACCATATCCGAGATCATAAGCAGTTCCGCCGATGACGCCACCTAGCGCCATCGTGCACAGACGAGGGATACACGAGTCACCCGGCAGATGTCGCGCGGGTTGCAGTGGGTGCGTCCCCGAGTGCACAGCGACAGGGCTTGTACTGGATGGACACTGGACAGCTGCCCCCGAGCTCTATGCTTCAATATTCTTGCCTCCGGCCTTTCACTAGCACTCGCTAGTCTGCCCCACTTATCTTTCTCAATTGACGGGGAATTCGTGGAATCGTTGAAATGGACATTCACCGTTCGTGTCAGACCCACAACTCAACTTTCAATTCCCTCTCGTCGCGTCATTTCAGCCTGAGGAGGCAAGTGTTGTCACTCTGGCATCTCCTTCATTCCACCCCTATCACAACAGCCCCTTAGTCCACCAACCAAACACGCTCGTCGGAATCAATACATATGGCTGTATTTAAAACGTCCGCCGGCCGCGGTCAGCCGACATTGCCTGGCGTTCCGCGGACGGACCGACCCATCAACACATGCACCACAGAACGGCATAGTTCAATACAAAGGAAACACTTGGCTGCCGACGCAAGGCGGTCACCCAGAACGGTGGCGCGGACGGCCGGCCGGCGAACGGGCGCGCCAGCTGCTCTGGGCGGGGGCGGCGGCGCGGCGCCTTCTCCTCCGGGCGGGGGCGGCGGCGGCGCGCGGGTGATGATGGGGAGTGCTGGCGCTGCCGGGAGAAGGGGAGACATCGGTTAGATTAGAAGACCCTTCAAGTGGCTCGTGGACGCTGATATAATTGTGGCACATAACTGGAACTGACATCGAGCCGGGAAAAAAATTGACGAAACCACGCATTTCATCGCAGAACGGACGATCTTGACAGCGGACACGAATTGGCGTCAAAAACATGACGAAAACGGACAATATACAAAGACTAAGAGCCAATCAAATATAGCACCGATAACCAAGGAAAGTTTTCCATAGGGAAGTCAAAGTTACAAGATAAAGAGAGAAATACAGACGAACGCAAACAATGGAAACTACAGCAGTGCACAATCGCTTTAAAACATTGTAGTCTAATGATTCCTTATAGGATACGCCACAGTTGAAGATGAAATGAGCACGTAAACTGCCTCGAAATCGTCCCACACGACGAAATCACAATCAGACCGCAGTCGGTTTAACGGCTTCGACTTTTGATCAGCAGCCAGTCTATACAGCCGGTCCGTATCTTATCAGCAGGCGCGATAGAGGAGGGTAGCCAACGGAGAGATTCGTCGACAATGACTCGGGTGTGACGGAGGTGGGGAGACAGATGGAGTGGAGGGGTGGAACGGGCGGCGGGCGACCTGCCTCCGCACGGATAGTGTGATTGGGAAGCGGGACAGGGTTCAGTGACAGGCTCTGAAAACCAGATTGACAGACACTAGCCTGTAAACGTTATCCGAGACATATAGGTATACCAGGGCACCGCCGATGCCGGCTGTTTGAGACCAACCAGGCCCGGTTCTGTATGAACAATCAGCTATCAAAAACAAACAAACGACTTGTGTAACCCTTCCCAAACCAGCCAAAGCTCAGCCCCTGGTCACAGCAGAGGGAACTACAACACAGATCACCGCCAAACAACCCCCCCCCCCCCCCTCCATCAGTCCGCACCACCCCACCCGACACTGACCGTCCTAGTGCGTCCCGCCACCCCAGACCCTCCCCCTCCCCGGACCCAAACCAGGGTAAACAGTCACTTCAGATCACTGACTCAGCACACGCCATCCCGGAAGCTACCACCATTTATAACCACCCGACCAGACCTATTCCGCCCCTTCACGTACCGTCCGGTGTGGATGAAGAGTCGTGTCGCCGTTTGCTGACGGCCTCCTAGTCCTCCAGGTCGGGCAGATCCCCGTCGTCAGAGTCCTCCTCTTCCGCTTTGTCGTCGTCACCCATCCCCGGAGGCACGTTGGCGCCCATGCCGCCCATACCACCCATACCACCCATACCTCCCATGCCACCCATTCCGCCCATACCACCCATGCCTCCGAGGCCGCCCATCTGCTTCATCATCTGCCGGAGGTGAAAGAAGGCGAGAGGGTCACTATGGGGCGCAATCACGGCGGTAAAAAAAATACAGGCAACACTGAAATATTGCAAACAAAATCACAAAAAGATATGGAAGTTATCATAATATTCAGTAGTGATCCGATCAACTAAATTAGCGTCGTTCAGAACAAAACTAAAATAATCAAACATCGGTTGACTTTTCTTATAGATGGCTCATCATTTAAGCATAGATATCCAGTAAACTACTGACAAACAGTTTGGAAAAAGCGACAGTAGTCGGTAGATACGCCAGTCGTGTCCGTCCTCACCGCCTCGATGTCCATGTCCCCGCCGGGTCCGCCGCCGGGCGCACCGGCGCCCTCCTCGTCACTCTCATCCTCGTCCTTCCACTTGTTGAAGTCCACCTTGAGCCAGTGGCACTTCTTGGAGTCTTTGAGCAGCCGCGGCCAGTAGGGACCCTCCTCGGCCTTGATTAGCACAAAGTCGATCCCCCGGCCAGAGACGAGCTGCTTCGATTTCTGTCGGCGGTCAGGATCAGCAGTGGTCACACCGGGAGCGTGGCACGCACTCTAACATACGAATGGACACGTCCACAGGGCAAAATGAAAATAACACGACGAAATGGGACGATGCAGGTTTTCTGCAACTTAGCTTATCAGCTTTTTCAATAAACGCAATAGTGCTGACTTGACCATTCATATTTGCATTGAAAAATTACATCCGTGGATCATACTTATAAATTCATGACACAATCTGATCCATTTCACAAGTGAGTTACCTCAGGGTTGATTTCTTTGTACAATTCCATATCGACAGCATAGGTTTTCTTGTCAGGTCCACCAGTGCCTTTGAAGTGAAGTTTGTTTCCCTCTACCTTGATTTCAGGGTTTTTGACATCCTCAACCAGTATTGTGAGGAATATGAGATCATTTCGCTGGGCCCATGTGCAGGCTGGGTGAAGAGCACTGGAAAATGAGAATCATAGTGCTCAGATATTTGTAAACAAACACATTTTTACAGGTCAGCTGCAAACCACACCAAACAACAAATGTCTAGAGCACTGAAGCAATATTCACTTTGATTCCAAACACTTCAATGTGTCTGGAACTCTGAAGCAATCCTGCCAACTATCACTGTTACTTTGAGAGAAGCTTAGTTTAACTTTGTAAGACCAGTCTATAAATATCTTAGATTAGGATGTATCTTAGATTGGGCTGCATTCATTTACATGCACATTGTAGTCCAATGCTTCAATTGTTGGTTAAGGAATAAGTTGCCTTTCAGGCAGAGCTTATTGCATAGCACCACACCATACACACAAAGCCTGACTGCATCACCTTCACTATAGTTTTCTTTTTTAATTTGTGAAGATGAAGTCTAAGTGGTAGGTTGTAGGTTGGTAGGATGTAGGCTGGTAGGTTGAAGGACACAGCATGATGAGCATTGCTAGCTGAATTACTTAGAAACTGGTTTGTGCACATTGTTTATTGAAGATATGGAAAATATTTTCAAAATGTGTTTTGAACTCCAACAATGTACTGCTATGTTAAACGATGTGCGATCTATTTATTAGTCGAGTTATAACTGTTGACAAGTTGTGTATCCCTGTGGCCTGTGGTGTTGTAAATATATATCTATGCAAATATGAGCTGCAAGTGTTGGAAATGGCAGTCAGGTAAAAATAATTTTTGATCGTTGACCTTCTGTGATACAAATATGCAACAACCAGTTTTCTCAGTAGGTAATTTAGCTAGCAATTCCTGTGCTGTTTTCAAAGCAATATACCTATACACTTAGCGTCAAATTTTAAACAAATGAACTAAAGCTCTCCAAAACATATTTGAATCTTTAACAATGGCTAGTACCTAACATAGTAACTGATGACACACTACACAGTCCTCCTGGGTCATGACTTATGAGGCTCCTGCGCACCACCTGACCAAACAACAAAGTTCAATTGGTGTGCTGGGCGCAGACACTACCAGTCTCCCTCTCAAATCCGGGCACGGAGTCCGTTACGAATCAGGCAGCTAATTTGCCGTCAACCAGGACTACTACAAGCAGGGCACAAGGAATAATAAAAAACAGCAAGAATACACGAAAACTACTAAAATTTATCGATTGGCTCACATGATAGCGAAGCATGTCAAAAATATCAAATAATATCGCCAAACTTTGAGCGAATTCTTTATGCCTTTGCTTCCGAGAATTGAAAGACTATGTATATACTTACTCCGAAGACGACATATCTGCAGAGACCATGTCAGGAATACAATCAATGAAAAATACAGATATACCCAAAAAATTTAACCAGACAGCGGCACCCTACTTCGCAAGAGAGGAAACGCGCGCCAGCTTCTTCTCTTCACAGAATCACGCATGGAAAATGGTGTGACATTTCGTCATTCTACAAGCTTCTAGAATGATGACGTCAATAGTTCTAACCAATCATTTTGGCCCATGCTATTTAAAGCTTATTTTATCTCATTTGATTATTGATCATGTTAGCGTCACTTTTCAGTTTGCTTCGATAAAAATAACCTTATTTTCGAATGGGATTTGTTGCTTTTGTCAGCTGCTTTTAAACAAAAAATTGAATGCTAATTTTTTAGAACGTCATTTTTGGTATATAATTAAAAAAAACTCTCAATACCTTGGTAATTTGTTGCCAATTCAAGGGTTAGGAAATTCGTAATACTTCTCGTTCCAATATGTCTATCAGCTGATGAAAGTCGAGAACCCATAGATATAAAGACCGAGAACCCCTCTTTTTATTTATTTGGGGAGAATGATCTTTGGGTTCATGTAGCATGGGTGTCGCCACGCCACCACTACGGACACTACGGACAGTGTCCGTACAAGTTTTGGAAGGCCCGAAAACTTGTACGGAATGTCCGTACAAGTTTCGACTACTGCAAAACAGTCTTTGCACATGTTTTGAAGTAGCCTATCGCTTATCAGTCCCCTATTTGTGGGTAAAGTTACGATCCAAGGGCCAAGGCAGCCCCAAAGTCAATGTCACGCAAGAGTATTTACTACTAGCATTTAGGGTGTAACGAAATTATCCGGACATATATTTGTTAGTCATATCTGTTCGCACAGTTTCTTTTCTGAGGGGTGTTCATGGGCACCGCACACTGCTGCGTGCGGTGTGTCACGTGTGCGGTGCGTCCAGCAGGCGTGGGGGTAGGGGATGGGTAGGCGGCTCTGACGTCACGGCTGCGTGCGGTGGACGGTCCGCTGTGGCCAGTCCCGACCGGCCACAGCGGTCGCTGTGTGCGGTGACGGAAGGCTGACGTAGGGACGCAGTGGGCGGAGCTTCGAGGCTGTGTGCGGTCCGACCGCACACAGGGCCCGTGAACAGCCCTCTGATGTTAGAAGCGGGAATACTGGCTGTATAAGTGCCTCCGGTATCGGCTCTCATCTCAGCAAAGACCTACCGTTGCCAGATGAATCTTGCTTTGAGTAATTAATCGAGTCACCGACGGGTTCATTTGATAACTAGTTTTCGTCAAAAGCAATGGACAGAAAGGAGCACACTCTCTCCTTTTGTATTAGGAAGCATGTTTGTGGCATTGCGGCAATGAGCCTGAAGCTGGTCTGCCAGCAGCTCCATGGACATCAGCAGCAGCCAACTGCACATCTGCCTGAGGCGTAATAAGCTGCCGGACTTAATTGATGAACTCAGCCCGGCTGCGACCGCAAAAGCCACCCTTTGCCAAAGCAGATTGACTTGAATTCAAGACCGATGATAAGAGGGCCCACATCATGACCCACCGCTATCCGCCCCTTACCTTGGTTCTTCTGCTCATCAAACTGAAAAAGACAACGAAATTGACGGGGAAATAGCCGGTGCACCACCTTTAGCCTCACGCCAAGATGCGTCCACTGGTCGAAGGAACACATAAGCAAGGCATGGTGTGGTGAAATGGGCAGCTATTCGCGCTGTATTGTCCTTTGAACCGTCAAAGCGGCCATGTGTTGGCTGCCAGTAACTCAAACGTCCCGGCCGTCACCGGCGTTAAACATGCGGCCGAGATCCAGATTTGGAGCATATTCAGCTGCTGTGCGATGTTCCAGCTGTGCATTGACCAACCCATTGACAGAAGAGTCCACCATCAGTGACGACTGACGAGTATTACCGGAGCAACATCCTGTCAGACAAATTAGTCCGTATGGAGAATGAGAAGTGGCGCCGGGAGAAGCTCTTATCCTTCTGGACTAACGGACTACGGCTTGGAAATAGTTTTCATCCTAATTCCATCGAGATCTTATGGACTTTTGTCCAGCAAGAGGTGAATAAGGGGACACCCGGCACCGATAGAGCAACTGTATGTAGGCACATGCTAATACGGCGTCGGTTCACATCAAACCCACTGTGCTTAAAAACCCAGTAGCTGGAATGTTCTACGCATTTCTAAATATGATCTTATAAAAGATGGCTATATCAATATCAAAGGGAAACAACCTCAGGTTGTTTGTTTCTTAATTACAGCGGAAAAAGGTGTGCGGATAATTTCGTTACACTCTGTATCATTCTATAGACTGATATTCACTGATACGTCAGCCATAATAATTCTGTGACTTTTGTCATCCTAAGGCTCTAACTAAACTAAATGAATGCTTAGAGCAAAAGAAAATGACAAAATCGTGACCAGCGCCTTCAAATACAGCAAATGAGATGAGACTGATCATGTGCAAAAGTCAACCAAAGGCCATTCGAGGTCACATGAGGTCAACATAAGACTTGACCTGACCGTTTCAAACAACCTAACTATATGTCATTCGACGCATCTTGATATGACTAATGCGTTGGCACCACCTTCTTTGCTGAAGAACTCTGCAAAAAAAGCCGCAGCTCGGGGTCGCTGACCTGCCATCTACCCTAATGTAGGTATCAAAAATGTGTTTGTATTTTTTTTTCCGAAGCCCCTAGGCATTCAGGGGCTATCGCAACTATTCGTCCGGGGTGGGGGGAGGAGGACGAAAAATGCCATCCACGGGCCCGCGTGGATTTACACCTCTGACGAGTGTTACGGCTGACAGAATGTGTCCGTACAAGTTGGAGAGCCGTGGCGACGCCCCTGCATGTAGGGATTTTTTTTTTTAAGTGGACTCTACCTCAGATAAATAAAAGCTTCCGGATTTATTTGGCTGTCATTTTATTATACGTATGTACCTACCTATGTTTCTTAGGTTTCATTGCAATTTTTGCAGGCAAACGGTCACCCCACCGCGCCTGAACCTCACCCGGACGAGCTATGAGTTGCGACGTCGGATGATGTGATGACCGTTCAGCCCGAAGCACGGGGTTCTGGATTTTTTAAAAAGGATGTGTGCGCCCAGCCCCGAGCATTGATTAGAGGAACCGGAAAGTTGGCGAATTGACCCCAGATCCCCTTGGTCCTATATAGGTATAGGTATAGGTAAGTGGCACTGGGCAGATGCAGCCGCGCCGAAGCCGGAAAAGAGGGCCAACTCGCAACCCCCAAAATTGATGGCCCAGACTAGGATGTTCGTTTTTTCCACGGCTCATCATAGACAGTCCATTGGCCCCGTCCGTCCACCGCCGCCCGCCCGCCGCTGGAGCTGCGGTGTTGAGCGTGTCGGGGAGGGGGAGGGGAAGGTCTGGCGCTGCGAGCTGCAGCCGCCGCCGCCGGCCGCGCCGCTCGTGGCTCCGGGCGGTCGGTGTCGGCAGACGGGTGCTGGGTGCCGGCGGCGGCGGGCCGTGTGAGGTGTCCTACCCCGACTCCGAGCGAGGTGACGCCGATCGGCCGGCGGCGGTGCTGCGTGCTGGGACGGTGCCGAGGACCGGTGAGTGCGCCCCATTGATCGTCCGGCCAGCTGCAGCCGGTACGGCGCCGACTGACCCCAATACCAGACATACCGGCGGCGGCGACCCCGCGGCCCCGGGCCGTGTGTACGGTCGGTGCCGTGTCCGTGTCCTGGGAACTGCGGGAACGGGGACCGGCTGACCTCACCGCCGCCGGGCACGACAGACTGGGGTACGCCACCGGCCCAATCTGGTGTAGGTCCATACACACATGACACAGTAGGCATTTAACTCGTCTGACTGACCACAGAGGCATGCACGTAATTGACCCGACCAAGACCAAAAATCTATGGATCTATGGACCCGACAGTCATCTGCTTTATCATTCTACATTACAGTCACCCAGTCAAATTATTCGACATAACCATGTTAACCTTTTTACATGCATAGAGATTGTCGCAAAGGAAATGGCCTTCAATGCGGGAACATGCGACGCGAATGTGTTCCTGCGTGGCGACGTCTGATGCGCTACACGGCGACGTCCTCTCTCAATCTTGTCCCTGTCGGTGCGACTGTGTATTGTATTGTATTGTATTGTATTGTATTGTATTGTATTGACATCGCGTCTCATCCACTAGTGTGGCTTTTCATGAGAACAAGTACAGATATAAAATGTTAACATGGATGAGTGGGAACAAAATCACATCACAATAACTATGCACTCCATTGACACACATGATGTTCAAACATTCGGTCGAACGAAGACTGTGCCCTTTGTCTTCGGCGAGCAAACGTTAACTCCTGCTGGGAGCGGATTTCTTCGACCCGGGCGGAAAGACTGCAGGCCGTAGGGATGACAGGTCCTGGAGGGGAGTGAGTTTCCGGTGTCCCCGCTGCGACCGTTCCGTCGAGCTCAAAGGGCACCGGTGCCTGTCGTTGCAGGTAATCGGTCGATCTACACCGTGCAACTGCACAGCGCACGGGGTACACACAGCGCACCCCGCCCTGTCCCGCCAGCGCGGCCGAGCGCGGTCGTCACACGATCCACCTGTTGGCTGTGTGGTATGCTGCTTGGTCCTTACTCGTATTTTGGTCCATATTTGAAGTACCGATGGACCATACCGATTATATTACCATTACCATACCGTCCCAGGTATGGTCTTGTACCGAGTGACAAGCAAACCATAGAGAAGTTAAAACAAAACTTATTTTAATCATTCAAAACTGATAAGTGCCTTCGCCCCTTTGGATGCGAGAGACCTAATTTGCAATATGAAAAAAACATCAATGATTGCAGTCGAGTCGGATCCAGCTCAGCAACTCGGGTTCGGCTCGGGATGAGTCCAAGCCAGAGTCAACCCATGCCCGCAGTCTGACTTCCTCCGGGACTGACCCGGTGGCGGTCACACGGGGCCGGGACCCGCCGGGTCAGTTCGGGGACCCGCCAGCTCGGGGGCAGAGACAGCGAAAGCCCGGTCGGCTGGGTGGCGTCTGTATCCTGTGAGAGCCGTCCGTCCGGCCCGCCGCCACCGACAGCTCTGCGGTCAGAGGTGGGCGGTGGGTGGCGCCGCACCGGCGGATTGGGCTCACCGTACCGGAGGGCTCGGCGTGATGCAC